ATAGAAGTTTGGGACATTTTTAGGTTTGGTTTTTGTATTATAATAAATTGGGTTATATTATCATATTCTCATAAGGATCGGCCAACTATCCGATGTTTGCGATATATATCCGGTTTAAACTGCAAGGGTATATAAACTTCGGCTCCGCCCGAAGTTAGCTTTCCTTTCTTGTTATACCCTTGCAGAGGGTATTATAATTTTGTCCAAAAGTGTGCAACGCAGTGAAGGAGACATCTCCGACCCTATAAAGTATATATATTCTTGATCAGGATCACCTCCTGAGTTGATATCAGCATGTCCGTCTGTCCGTCTGTCTGTCTGTCCGTCTGTCTGTTTCTACGCAAACTAGTCTCTCAGTTTTAAAGCTATCGACTTGAAACTTTGCACACACCCTTTTTTCCTTTGCACGCAGTATATAAGTCGGAACGGCCCGGATCGGCCGACTATATCCTATAGCTACCATATAACTGATTGATCGGAAATGGTATAACTTTGATGTTTTTAGAGTTAGAGGGCTAAAAATTGACATGAGAGCTATTTTTGGCAAAATAATACGACATGCCAAATTTCATAAGGATCGGCCGACTATATCCTATAGCTGCCATATAACTGAACGATCGGAAATGACCCAACTTTCGTGTTTTTGATGATAGACAGCTGGCACTTGGTACACATTCTATTTTTGGTCAGTTAATCCGATCTACCAAATTTCATAAAGATCGGTTGACTATATCTTATAGCTGACATATAACTGTACGATCGGAAATGGTTTTTGGTAGAAATATCAACTTTCGTATTTTTGAAGATAGAAGCTTGGGACTTTTTTTTAGATTTTTTATTGATTTTTGATTTTTTGATTTTTGATATTTTTATTAAGCTTGAACAAAAAAAATAAAACTCAAAAATAATGATTATTTGTGATTTTTATTTATTTTGATCAAAAATAAAACTTACCAAGCAATAACTTTTGATCCTTTGAGGATATTGCCAATATTGTCCTATGTCTTTATAAAGGGACCCTAGAGCAATAATTGACAACAACAACAACAAAAAAAAATGCATTTTACCTGTGTTTGTTGCAATTATTTAATATAAGGTCAACTGTTACATACAGAGCAGCAGCAGATATACACAATTACCAAAACAATGATAATAATGATAATGATAATCATCATAATGATCAACCAATAAAACAATTAGGTACATTAATTTTCAATTTATTATGCATTTATGACAATATGAATTTTATGTATTTTTGGAGCAGAGATTCTTTCAATTGTTGCTGGTAGCGTTTGCTATCAACGGTTTCACCCGGTTTTAGGAGCTCATACCAAACGATTCCGGCCTGATCCCGGAAAACGCTCAGCATGGCTTTGCGGCCGAAACGGTTTGGCCGAGATTGGGATTGGGCCGGCTGGGATGGGCTAATATAGGAATGCAAAAACGAGAATTTTCAAGAGCATTTCGGAAGTCATTGGAAAAACTTTTGGAAAAAAACTCGCGAATAACGTTTAAGCAGTGTTCCCAGATGTCAAAAGATACTTAAAAAATATTTTACCAACAATTTTCGATCACTTTTGTTACCGATAATTAACAATGAAGTAAAACCCAGTTACATATGCATAGACCTGGTAAGACTGAAACTTATCAGTAAGAATGACTTATTGTAAATCATTTCTATTGAGTTTCGATATGGGTCGCAAACGAAATTTTGTTCTCCGGAATTTTTTATTTTCCACGCGGGAAATTATGTTTCCGAGTGCAAAATTTGCAAATCAACGTTAGCTGGAGAGTACGTGTGCAACATGAAGCGGCATATGCAAACTAAGCATAAATCGAAGTACGAAGCTGAGATAGCTAACGTTCAGGAAGACGAAGCGGCCGAAAAAAATAAAATTTGCAATAACGATGGGCAAAAATTAAGTGAAGGATGCGTGCATCGATTTGGTGACGCTGGAAAAGCTTCCGTTGGCTATTTTCGATTCGGAGTGCTTCAAAACGCTAACGTCTCAAATATTTTCTGCACTGGATATGCCGGCTGTTTCATCCAGACACATAATGGGCATGATGGAGGAAAAATATAATTATAAAAATATATATAAAATATGAAAATATAAATTTGCAATATATTCACGACACTGGTATTACGATAAGGACCTTGGGCCTTATTGAGTTAAAGATGTCGCACACGTCCAGAAACATTTGCTCTGAAATTGAGTCACTGCTGAGTCAATTCGCGATTCAGAGGCAGCAAATATACACCATAACCACGGACAATGGCCGAAATATGGTGAATGCAGTTGAGCTGCTTAATGATACGGAGACTGTTGACATTGACGAGGACGCCGAGGATGAGGAAGAGCTAATGTTTAATACTAGCATTGGTTCCATCACCTCCGTACGTTGTGCAGCACACACCCTTCAGCTAGCTGTGAAGGATTTCCTGGAAGACTTGGAAGCAGCTGATTTTATTTCTAAAGCGCGAAAGCTTGTGAAGCTGTTAAGGACGCCAACCTACAGGTCTGTTTCATAACATTTTATTTATTAACTTTTATAAATTAACTTTTTTTATATATATTTAGGCATTTGATAACTGAGGCAGCAATACCGCAGCCTGTAATTGATGTTGCGACTCGATGGAGCTCAACATATAATATGTTGAGTAAACTGCTGGGCTTTGAGACCTTTTGCGAGCGCCACGTCAAAAATTCAATGAAGCTGACTCCGACTGAGTGGTTGGATTTAAAACAATTGGTGGAAGCTTTGGAGCCAGCTTACTTGGCAACATTGCAATTTCAAAGCAGCCAATTATTTATGAGCGACTTCTACAAGCTTTGGATGGAACTCAAGCTCACAGTCGGGGCAAAGCAGACTACTTATAGTAAAGCGTTGAGGCTTGCTATTGAGGCGCGAGAAGAAAGCCTGTTAGCAAATAATGTCGTTATTTGCAGCCTCTTCCCTGGACCCTCGCTTACGTCGCATATTGCTGCAACAGCCTAAAAACGTGATGCGCGCGAAAACGGAGCGTAAACAGCTCTTACGCCAACTTTGGCAGTTGAAGGAAAAGGTTAGTAAATTCATTTTATATAAATAATAAACAATAATTAATTCAACATATTTTCAGATTGATACAGATGAAGCCAGCTCAACCTCTAGCTTGTCAGAGACCAATTTGCTTTCGCAAAATTCCCAGTCTTGCTCGCTCTTGACCGAGCTTTTAAGTAGCATTGAGGTCGATGCCGAAGAGGAAGCTGACGATGATGGGCAGCAGGAACTATTAAAAGGATATGCTGAAATTGATAGTTACAGCCCGAAGCCCATCAGTACTGGAGTGAGAAGCAATTTCAGTATCCGAATTTATTTCAGCTTGCTAAGGTGGTGCTCGCGGTTCCAGCTACCCAAGTTAGCGTAGAGCGCGCCTTTTCTGCGCTTAAAATTATACTAACCGACAAAAGGTGCAACTTGTCGAGCGAGTCGCTGTCAAAATTATTATTTCTAAAATTAAATAAAAATTATAAAAATACATAAAATTCATATTGTCATAAATGCATAATAAATTGAAAATTAATGTACCTAATTGTTTTATTGGTTGATCATTATGATGATTATCATTATCATTATTATCATTGTTTTGGTAATTGTGTATATCTGCTGCTGCTGCTCTGTATGTAACAGTTGACCTTATATTAAATAATTGCAACAAACACAGGTAAAATGCATTTTTTTTGTTGTTTTTGTTGTTGTCAATTATTGCTCTAGGGTCCCTTTATAAAGACATAGGACAATATTAGCAAAATCCTCAAAGGATCAAAAGTTATTGCTTGGTGAGTTTTATTTTTGATCAAAAAAAATAAAAATCACAAATAATCATTATTTTTGAGTTTTATTATTTTTGTTTAAGCTTAATGATTATTTGTGATTTTTATTTTTTCGATCAAAAATAATTATTAGTCTTGATTTAAAAATTAAAAATCGAAAAGTAATCATTACAAAGTAATTTTTAAAATATTACTTATAATGATTACGGTCCCTGATTTGGGAGCTTACCACGCTAGTGATGAGCTGTCGCCTTTCTTGTCTCGGGCCTCTGATGTTGAGGAGCATCCGCAAGAGGGCTCTCGTCGTCTCGCTCGCCCTTCTGTGGGCGTACTCGAGGTGCTCCCGGAACGAGAGCCTTGTATCCAGCCAGACCCATAGGTATTTTATGGCTCTCCTCGAGGTAACGGCCACTCCTCCTACAAGTACTGTCGCAGTCTCGACCTTCTTCCGGCTCGAAATTAGCACTTCTTCCGTCTTATATGGGGCGAGGAGAACATCCATGCCTCCACTTTCGCCACCGCGGAGTTTGTTAGGGTTTCCACCCCACGAACTGTCTTCGCCACCACCACTAGGACTATATCGTCGGCGAATCCTACGATGGTAGTACCCTCCTTCATAGGTAATCGGAGGAATCCATCGTACATAGTGTTCCACAAGAGCGGCCCCAGTACAGAGCCCTGGGGCACTCCCGCGGAGATCACTCGTTCCTTCTGCCCTTCCCGCGTGTCGTACAGGAGTACTCTATCGCTGAGGTAGCTGTCCACCATCCTTAGCAGATATGCCGGGATCCTCAGCTCCTTCAGGGCTTGGAGAGTCCGCAGCCAGTTCACCGTGTTGAAGGCGTTCTTCACGTCCAGGGTGGTAACCAGGCAGTATTGCTTGGCACCCCCATTCCATCTGGTGCCTTGGATGGCGCTTGCTGCCAGGTTCTTTACCCTCATAATGGCCTCCACCGTTGACTTCCCTTTCCGGAACCCGTACTGCTCCTCTGCCAGTCCACCTTCCCTGCTTATCGTCGCCTGGAGTCTCGTGGCCAGGATCTTCTTCAGTACCTTGCCTACCGTGTCTAGAAGGCAGATTGGTCGGTAAGATGCGGCCTCTCCGGGTGGCTTACCTGGCTTCATTAGCAGAAGGAGCCTCTGCTTCTTCCACACCTTCGGGAAGGATCCTTCATACAGGCACTAATTGTAAATGGCTGCTACCTTTTCTGGTATTTGGGCCAGAACCACTTTTAGCGCTCGATTTGGCACCGCGTCCGGACCGAGAGCTTTCTTAGAGGCTAGGTTCCAAGCGGCCACTAGCACCTCCTCTGCTGTGACTGCTTCCACCGACTTGTCTTCCGAATTCTCAATAGCCGGGTGGATTCCCTCCGCTCTACTGCTTGGGAACAGGACGTCAATTATCGCCCTCAGTGCTAACGGGTCGGAGGGGTGCTGGCTCCCCGCCTTGACCATTTTTGACACCATTCTGTACGCCTGTCCCCATGGGTCGTGTTCCGCTTCATCGCATAGCTTGAGAAACAACTCTCGCTTGCTGTCCCGTATGGCTGTTTTCAGCGCTTTCCTAGCTGCCTTGAACTCAAGGTGCCTTTGCTCCTGCGCGTCGGTGCCTCGAGCTCGCTGCAGGGATCGTCTAGACCTTAGGCATTCTTTGCGGAGAGACGAGATTTGGCTTGTCCACCACGGGGCCGGCTTGTGATGCCGAGCAAAGTTCGTGCGCTCCTTCATGCTTGCCTTGCAGGCCGCATCAAGGACCGTAGCAAGCGCCTCCGCCGATTCGTTGGCTGTCTCGTGGAGATCAAGCTCCGCCGTTCGCATATGGGTTTCCAATTGTTGGACGTCTAACGTATCCTGTCGAAACGCCTTGCCGCAGGGGGGAATGCTCGAGATCGCCTGGCTGGTTCCAAGCGAGCAAAGTATGGCCTCGTGGTCACTGGCCGTGTAGATGTCGGCGATTTCCCACTTTGAAGTCCGTGCCAGACTACTGCTGACGAAGGTCAGCAGGACGAAGGTGTTGTAGGTTTCCTGGTTGCCCTCGTTGAGAAGGGCGAGGTCCAGGGGTGCTAGGATCTCCAGCAAGGCTCTGCCTCTAGCATTCGTGGTGGTACTCCCCCACTCCTGTGCCCACGCGTTAAAATCACCTGCTATTAGCACTGGGTGTTTGCCTCCGGCATCTACCGCAAGCTCCTCTAGAGCCTTGCAGTAAGCATCGAGTGAAAGGCTTGGGGCTAGGTAGCAACTATACACCCATGTACCTCCCCACTGGATTCTCACGAACCCTTCGTCTCTCCTTACTTGACATGGCCCTTCCGCGGAACTGTTGCAGATCCAAATGGCCGCCTTGCCCTGAATGTTGGTCGCCCACTCCTCGCCTGGCCCGACGCTGTACGGCTCGCTGAGTTTAGCTATGTCAGCATTCACCTCGCCTACGGTGTGTCGCAGAAGGTCCTGCGCCGCTCTGCAGTGATTCAGGTTGAGCTGGATCACTTGCATCCTGTCTTATCTTTTACTGCTCCATTGGAAAGCGGACACCGTCGACTTCCTGCTAGGTGTTTTGCCTCCTTCTCGCCTTTTGATGCGCAGACGAAGCAGGCCCGCTTTTGCCACAGCGGATGCAGCATCCGCTCCTATCCGTGGGGCTTCGACACTGGCTCGCAATGTGGCCAACTTCCAGGCATCAGTAGCACCTCGGTTGACTCTGCCTCTTCCCAATCCGACACACAGTCCATCCGATCCTCACCCTCCCTTTGCTCGCAACTGCGGTCGCAATTTTGCTGGGTAGACCGATGATAGCGGTCTGTGTGTCCCAGGATTTCGCACGAAGGCTCCTTAACCTGACCGCCTTTCCATCCACTTCGAACTGCTCGGTCAGTGCAAGCCGAATGTCCACTTCCGTCGCTAACGGATCGAGGTCCCTGATCTCTAGGTACGTCATTTTGCTGTCCTCAGACAGTGCCCGCACTTCGGCAGCCCCTTGTAGTACCTTTTCGAGGTTCTCCCTCATGGCGTCCGTGCTATCCATACGGTTTTTTGCCAGCCAGGTGGTGGAGCCGCGCTGTCCTGGCTAAGCCGTCGCCACGGGTCGGTCTGGGCTGCCGCTTCCTTACGCCGGGTTGGGAGGGTTTGCGTTCTCTGGTCTGTCTTCGCAATATCTGCCTGACCGCACCTCGTACAGACGACCTCTGCCGTTGTCCCTACATCGCTGGGGTTGGAGAGGATCCCGGTAAGGCCTTCCTGCAGCTCCTTCATCCTGCAGAACATCCTCTTAATTTTGAGTTTGATGCTCCTCACTTGTTTTTCGTGAGTTTGCTGGATAATGTCCTCCAGTATCGTCTCTAACTCCGCCAGCATGCTGGAGCAAGGCTGCTCTGTTGTGGCTCTCGTCCTCTTGGCTGGAGTCGATCTCTGGGGTTCCGATGGACTAGATTGTTCCCTCGTCCTTTTTGGGGTCTCCTTACCATCATTCGCGGGAACACCGCCTGTTGGCATCGCTGTGCTCCGCGTTACCTGCAGAATGGGTGACCGCAGGATCTTGGAGCTGCTCAGAAACGCTGAGGATTGCTCCGCATTTTGTTGGCTTGTCGCTTTTACTGCCGGGGTGGCCAAGCTAGCCACCGCCTCGTCAGTCGTGAGTTGAATGTTGTTTGGGGCCTCCAGAATCCGTGCCTCGGCCGTGGGTTTCCCCACGGATGGATTTCCACTTGAGTGGTTGCCACCTGGAGTATTTGCGTTGTTAAACATCATCCTTCCAGTTGTGCTTTTTATACCTACTGCCAGGTTTGCATTTTATACCTTCTGCCAGGTTGGGGTACGCTGCCGGCCACTGTGGCTCAGACGCAGACCCCGTAGCCGCCCATAATGGGAAAGACGCTACGAGGATTTGGAGTGGGAAGAAGAAGGGGGAGGGTGGGCGTGGTCCATCGAGGCTACGATGGGGGATATACCACCCCTGCTCGGTCGCCAGGGCCCCGTCTCCAGAGTGCACCGCCGCGGCGGAGGGGTTGGACTATGGTCGGGTCCATGACCTTGTACACCGCTCCTAAGATCTCGCCCGCCCTCATAAGAGCACTATAGAAATTTCTCTCCTGGTGCCGCCCTCTGTGGGTGGCGTTAGCAGCGACGATACGGCGCCAAGTGGCGCCCTCTTCAGGTACCACCGATTTGATCAGGGCTGGTCACACTGCCAGTCAGCTGCGATCAGCTGGTACTGCGATCCGCATCACTGACCAGCACAACCCAATTTGGGCGAATTTGCAACGCGGGAAAAGCGATGCCACCAAAAGAGAGGAAGAAAGCTTACCCTGCCCCCCCCTGTCCAGCAACGGCAGATTTGTGCTCCGGGCCAGCAAGCCGGGAAAACGGAGCCACGGGGACATTGGCGGATACAAGGGGGGGGGGGCGATAGGGGCGATAGATTTTTGGCTACGGCTACGAGGAGCACAGAATATTTTTTTCTGCTGTTGCTTTGAATTTTTCGTAGCTCGGAGCAGAGCAGATAAGAAATTTTTTTTTTTCTGCTACGGCTCTGCTTTTGCTTTGGAAAAGGTGGCAGCGGTATCAAGAGCAAAACGAAAAACTACGGGTGTAACGTAGCTTTTCAAACAATGACCGGCACATTGATCGAATGGTATGAACGGTGCCTGAGTCTATCAAGCCATTTTCCAATTGAAATTGATTTTCAAATCCTTCTTTCTTCGAGTGAAGAGGGACTGGTCACTATTCACGCGTTTTCTAGCTGAGGAATCGAAACAGGCTGTCAAAAATGGTATGTACTGTTGTCACATTTCTCTAGAATTTGAGGTTTATATTGCATTAACGAGGTTTTTTTTTTTTAAAGTTTGAGTGGTTCAATATTTTCCTTGTATATCAATTTTTCGTGAATTTTCTCCTCGATAGAATGGATATTTTGTGCAGTTCCAAGAAGTTTTTTGTGGCTCTCTGCACTTTTTTACTTTTTTGTTTTTGTTTGTTCTTCCAACTTGTATATATAATGTATCTCTTTTGGAAGTGACACTAGATATGAGGAGCTGTTATACCTGGGTCTAGGGGATACTAGTAAAAAATAATGCACGCATAATAGACCTTTGTGTACTAGCAAGATGGGAGATCAGGGCCCAAAACGGTCAACTTTTTGCGTCGAGCTTGTTGGTGAGGGGGAACGCACATGCATACGATTCTATTTTTTAGAACTCTTTACATGTATCCGTCAACTACAATGTGAGCCTTTGTATGTATGTGTGACTGCCCGCACGACGGCGTAAAAAGGTTTTGGCTTCCAAATTTCAATTTCAATTTCTCGTTTCTGTTTTCAATGCGCCGATGTGGTAGTTACAACAAATAGTAGAACAAATAGTATTTTTATTCGCCGCAGATCGAGACAGGACGGTAGCGTAATGCATAGAGAAGTTACTCTTTGAACTTTTTCTTTCTTTTATAATTATTATTATTTTTATACCCTTGCAGAGGGTATTATAATTTTGTCCAAAAGTGTGCAACGCAGTGAAGGAGACATCTCCGACCCTATAAAGTATATATATTCTTGATCAGGATCACCTCCTGAGTTGATATGAGCATGTCCGTCTGTCCGTCTGTCCGTCTGTCCGTCTGTCTGTCTGTCTGTCCGTTTCTACGCGAACTAGTCTCTCAGTTTTAAAGCTATCGACTTGAAACTTTGCACACACCCTTCTTTCCTTTGCACGCAGTATATAAGTCGGAACGACCGGGATCGGTCGACTATATCCTATAGCTGCCATATAACTGATTGATCGGAAATGGTATAACTTTGGTGTTTTTAAAGTTAGAGAGTTCAAATTTTAGGTGAAAGCTATTTTTGGCAAAATAATACGACATGCTAAATTTCGTAAGGATCGGCCGACTATATCCTATAGCTGCCATACAACTGAACGATCGGAAATGGTACTTGGTAGAAATATCAACTTTCGTATTTTTGAAGATAGAAGTTTGGGACTTTTTTTAGATTTTGTATTGTAAAAAATTGGATTACATATTCCTATTGCCATAAGGATCGGCCAACTATATCCGATGTTTGCGATATATATCCGGTTTTAACTGCAAGGGTATATAAACTTCGGCTCCGCCCGAAGTTAGCTTTGCTTTCTTGTTATACCCTTGCAGAGGGTATTATAATTTTGTCCAAAAGTTTGCAACGCAGTGAAGGAGACATCTCCGACCCTATAAAGTATATATATTCTTGATCAGGATCACCTCCTGAGTTGATATGAGCATGTCCGTCTGTCCGTCTGTCTGTCCGTTTCTACGCGAACTAGTCTCTCAGTTTTAAAGCTATCGTCTTGAAACTTTGCACACACCCTTCTTTCCTTTGCACGCAGTATATAAGTCAGAACGGCCGGGATCGGCCGACTATATCCTATAGCTGCCATATAACTGATTGATCGGAAATGGTATAACTTTGGTGTTTTTAGAGTTAGAGAGTTCAAATTTGACATGAGAGCTATTTTTGGCAAAACATTACGTCATGCCAAATTTCATAAGGATCGGCCGACTATATTTTATAGCTGCCATATAACTGAACGATCGGAAATGACCCAACTTTCGTGTTTTTGAATATAGAAAGCTGGAATTTAATACAGATTCTATTTTTTGTCAGTTGATCCAACCTACCAAATTTCATAAGGATCGGCCGACTATATCCCATAGCTGCCATATAACTGAACGATCGGAAATGGTATTTGGTAGAAATATCAACTTTCGTATTTTGGAAGATAGAAGTTTGGGACTTTTTTTTTAGATTTTGCATTGTAATAAATTGGATTATATATTCCTATTCCCATAAGGATCGGCCAACTATATCCGATGTTTGCGATATATATCCGGTTTTAACTGCAAGGGTATATAAACTTCGGCTCCGCCCGAAGTTAGCTTTGCTTTCTTGTTATACCCTTGCAGAGGGTATTATAATTTTGTCCAAAAGTTTGCAACGCAGTGAAGGAGACATCTCCGACCCTATAAAGTATATATATTCTTGATCAGGATCACCTCCTGAGTTGATATGAGCATGTCCGTCTGTCCGTCTGTCTGTCCGTCTGTCTGTTTCTACGCAAACTAGTCTCTCAGTTTTAAAGCTATCGTCTTGAAACTTTGCACACACCCTTCTTTCCTTTGCACGCAGTATATAAGTCGGAACGGCCCGGATCGGCCGACTATATCCTATAGCTGCCATATAACTGATTGATCGGAAATGGTATAACTTTGGTGTTTTTAAAGTTAGAGAGTTCAAATTTTAGGTGAAAGCTATTTTTGGCAAAATAATACGACATGCTAAATTTCGTAAGGATCGGCCGACTATATCCTATAGCTGCCATACAACTGAACGATCGGAAATGACCCAACTTTAACCCAACTCGTGTTTTTGAAGATAGAAAGCTGGAACTTGGTACAGATTATATATTTGGTCAGTTGATCCGACCTACCAAATTTCATTAGGATCGGCCGACTATATCCTATAGCTGCCA